TCTTGTTGCTAACAGCCCACCAACTGGTACCAGCCCCGACCCTGGGGGGTTGGGGATGGCAGCTTTATACAAAAGAAAAAGTGTAAGTGCAGCAGGTGACATTTATTTGTAAATGTTTGTGCTGCTGACTTAGGATCGTTCCTGTAAGTGAATGGACAAATACAACTGGGTACAAAGAGGCATTTAAAAGGAAAGAAATAGAAACTAAATTAAGATACTGCAGTGGGTAGAATAATGGCCTCCCAGAGATGGCCATGTCTTAATTATCGGAACCTTGAATGTATTTTGTTATATGTCAAATTAAGGAATTAAGTTTGCGATGAGATTAAGGTTGCTGATAAGCTGACCTTAATATAAGGAGATTATTTTGTATTAGCTAGGTGAGCCCAATGGACTCACAAGGATCCTTAAATGGTTTGGAAGAGGAAGAAGAGGTCAGAGTTACAGACAGATTTGAGCATATTATGTTCCTGGCTTTGTAGATGAAGGGGCTACCAGTCAAGGAATGCAGATGCCTTCTAGAAGCTGGAGTAGATAAGGAAATGAATTCTGCCTTAGAGCCTCCAGAGAGGAATGCAGTGCTGCCAACACCTTAATTGTAACCCAGAGAAACTTCCAACCTACAAGACTGCAATACATTTGTGTTATTTTGGTCATTTGTTACAGCAGCAATGGAAAACTAATACAGGTATATTCATACAATATAACATTATACAGTCATTAAAAATAAGAATGCCTCATGATGTAGAAAATATTTATGGTATATCATTAGGTTAGAAATACACCACATGTAGTAAAATCAAACAGAAAAATATGTGTATACGTTTTAGATAAAATGTGAAAGATATACTATAAAAGGTTCTTCAGGGTTCTCTATGGATTCTGAAATCTATTTTTTCCCTCTTTCTTCCATATTTCCCAGGTTTTCTTTTTTTTGTAATCAGAAAAAAATGTTCAATATGATTGATGTTAAGAACTGGAGGTAGATTGCTCTATTAATAGCATTTTATGTCCATTCAAAAAATTTTAAGAAAGGCGATGAGCTGTAATTACTTTACCAATGGTCTGCGTCTCAAACATGCTTTAAAAGATAAACAATATATTACTGTCTACTCACCTTTTTTTGGATTTTTTTTTCTATGAACTACATATTGAAACCTGGACCACATGAAATTAGAAAATATTTTGCCAAAGATCAATCTTTGAATGATAATTGCATTCATGGTGTCAGGATTGACAATAGCAGGATATCACCTATATAGTGTCTAGGACTAAAATCTCAGGTGAATGAACTTCCCTTCGTAAGTTCAACTGAATAATCCCTTTTATCTTTCCTTACAGGATTCAATACTGGAACTCATTGTTGTGAAATAGTCAATGCCTCTTCCTTTCGTGTTTTATGGATTTGATTTTTATCAGTGGTGGGTTTTTTTGTGGCTGTTTATATTTGTAGAGAACATAAAGGAAATTAAACCTATCGAGAGCAGGATAAAACTCTGTTTAGTAAGTCAAGTGCATTTTTAATAAATTATGATTTATTTACACAAATAAAACTACCGAACTTTAGTAGAAAAGCCTGGTTGCAAGACACAGTACAGAATGTAATTATTTAGTATCTGCCAAGCAGAAGACGGCAGCACAAATAGGGTGCGCTCCAGCATCAGGTGGGCCTGGGTTCAGACAATGGCTTCAGCTCTCACCATCTCTGTGCTTTTTGTCAGTTATTTCCCCTTTCTGAGGCTACTTTACAGAATGGAGAGTATGCCAATCTCCTGAGTTTATTGTGAGAAGTAAAGGAAGCAAAATGTATTTCCTTGTGTAAGTAATCAGTAAATGGTGGCATCATTATTTCTGAATGCCTTTTTTACTGAGTATTGTTATTTGAATTACACAATTTAAGAAGATTCCGTGACTGCTTGTGCTTATGTGCTCTGTGGTTATTTCAAGGCATTTTTTTAAGTGTGATAAAGTAATATGTATGTGACAAGAAACTGGTATTGTATGAAGAGTTAACTGGCAGAAGTGACAGAAAACTAACATAAACATAGAGATCAAATAGAAGTTTCTATCACCTCATTTGAACAAGAATATGAACATCCACTCAGTTTCGCCAGAATACTTTTATAAAGAGATGTGATCTCTCTATTCTGCTGTGACAGAGTAGGAAAAAAGGACCAGGGTGTTTTTCAGGTACAACTCATAAAGGAAAAGAAAAACAAAATAGTATTAATACTTCATTTTGCCCTTGATTTGCTTCTCTTGTCTGATTGCTCTGGCTAGGACTTCCAGCACTATGTTGAATAGAAGTGGTGATAGAGGGCAACCTTGTCTGGTTCCAGTTCTAA